GCAGTGGCTGACATTAGCTAACAACCAGCACTGCTGCCCGACAGAAAAAAAAACTTAAGTCTGGTTTTAATTTGTGGCAGGATGTAGCCTGACTAATTAACACATTATTTGTGGTTGCGGGGCTGGAGCCAATCCCAGCTGACATCAGGCGAAAGGCGGGGTACACCCTGGACAGGTCGCCAGTCCATCGCAGGGCCACACATAGACAAAACACTAGTCTAACACATTATATCTTGTTTGGTTAATTCGTACACAAACACACATGTAAAGATTGACCTGAAAGTATGATTTTTATTTCACCAGCCATCCTGCTGCTGCTTCTCCTTCCCATGCCACCTGCAGCTGGATGCAGAAGGTTCAAAATAAGCCCCACATCTGTGGACAAACTGCATTTTCACAAGGTACATTTTTAAACTGTTCTTCAAAGAAGGTTGAAGTCAAGGGCAACTGGACTTGGTTGAAGATACTAGAAGACGTTTTGTCCCCCGCTTCTGTTATTGGCGTCAATATCGTCTCCGCTATTTAGGTTAAATAGTTCTCTACTAGTCTTTTCAGAAGTGAAGAAGTCTCTTGGATGAGGGACGAAACGTCTTCTATTATCTTCAACCAAGTCCAGTTGCCCTTGACTTTAACCTTCTTTGGATAACTATGATCTGGATGACTGAGAACCTTCACAGACAAACTGTTCTGCAGCTTTTTATTGTCTTGGCTGTTGGGACTCAAAGTGAAACGGTCTCCACATCCTGGGGAGAACAAGGACTGACAAAAACGTTTATGCTCTACAATGGCCAGTTTAACTAATTTGAGTTTAACATAGCTTATCACAGGGAGACATCATCATTAAACACATTGATTATGGACCAAGAAAACCATTTAGTCTGAGTGCATACTGGTGAGATGCTGGCAAGGTAGCTAAATGTCAACAAACATATAGGCATTTTCGCAACTAACTGGATAAAGCTGAATGAGACAGTATAAGAAAGGTCATCTGCAGATACATTGACAGCTGAGATCCTTTTTGTAGGCTGTTATCTGCTTTATTGTTAATAAGCTTCTGATTTATGATATCAGTGAACATGGTTATGCCTACAGAGTAAGTATTAGATGGAGAAGAGGAGGGTGTTATCAAAGTTGACATTGCAGATTTACAAAGTGCATATGGTTCGAATGGTGGCCTATACATTGTGCAGTGGTTACCTAATATAAATGTGCCCAGTGCCTGTTTTTAGGGGAACTGAAAGGAAATTGTGTGAGGCATTGAGCCCCTACAGTTCTTAGAACATTAAAAGTTATTTAGCTGACATCAGAAGTCTTCATAATTATTTATTACCGTCAGTTTTAACAGGTTTACAGGAAGAAAATCAGACATGTAAAGTAATTGTTAAGAGTGTAATTTAACTCTTGGTGGAACAAATTCAGTGCACGTTTACGCTTAGGGTGTCTGGTGTTGTGATGACAGGATGACACTGTGGGTGTTGATATCACTTTTGACAGTGTTCATTTAAAAGTTACTACTGTGGAAGTATTTTGCTGTATAAACTTGGAACAGTTACATGATTGTTTCTGTCCAGAGAGTCTGGATTTGATAGCTAGGTTACATACAGTATGCTTCCATGAATAGGCTGTCTGTCCTGTCCCTTTTCACTGTAGTGAGTTTGCATGTGGGTGTGTGATGGTATGTGTGTGTGTGGCTCTGTCGGGTCCCGTCCACTGTTTTTAAAGGAGCACTGGAGCGGCTAATGCGCTGGCGGGTGCTGGCTGTCACACTGAAGAGAGCTTGGGCAGTAGCTGTGTGTTTCTTTCTCCCCCCAGGTCCACACAACCTGTCCCTTTGTGTCCCAGGCAAGACCACCCCAGGGACAGTCTATATACACTGGGTGCACTCTGAAACACAAAATAGGCTTATATGTGGTCTTTAAGGTCCATTCCAGTGGTTTTGCATGTTTAAGCCCACTATATTCTAACGAAATGTGTTTGAAATTTATTTCTTTATTTATTAGTACAAGACAATAATCTCACCACAGTGCTGTTTATGAAATATGACATTGCCACTATTTAAGATCCATGCTCATAAATCGCTTTTGTGAAACAGATGTCTGGAGCTTTTGATCATATCGCATGACCTTCATTATGGAGATGCAGATGAAATTTGCTTAGCTCATGAAATTATAAATGTTCAAATTATACTAAAATTTTTATTTTTCTCGGCGCATTTGAAGGAGGTTCAAAGTTCAGTCTTGACTTTGCAAACAGCAGTTTTATGCCAACGTGGATGAAAAGTCCTTAAGGGGCTCAGAAAAAATTGAATTTTTAACATATAAACTTCCATTACAACCTGGCAAACTCATTCTGCTGATAAAGATCATGTGATATCATCAAAGGCTTCAGAGGCCCATTTCACCAAAAGGATTTCTCAGCACTGTTTAATTGCAGATCTCTAATGTTGGCACAAATTGCTAAATTCATGACTCATACAGGATTCTAGCAAGTGTTTGCATCTATGGCATTTGTTTTGATTAGTAAAACGTGTCAAAATCAGCAGGAGATGTATTGATCTTGTGTTGCAAATCAGTTTGCAAACAGGTGAAACAGGCCCCACAACAGCTACTAGATTTTTACCTTCTGATCAGTATTTCTTTTCTTGTGTTGGATCACATCTGATGTGTTTGTCCTGTTTAATTACAGTATACCAAGTTCAGTACACTGTTTGGATTGGTTACTTGATCTTCTGGCTAGATGTGATTGGTTGCTGTAGCTATTGTAATTATTGAAAATAGCAAGATGTGTAAATGTATTGGCTAGGTTTACTTTATATTGTTGCCATCCTTAAGTGAAGTATAATTTTTTAGATTGATTTTCTAGCCATTGGTTTCCATGAAATTTCAGTATGGAGCGGTGATGTCATTGATACACAAAAATGCAGTTGCAACCAGAAAGTACTTTGAGTCCTTGTTGGTGCATCCAAGGAAACTCATGTCAGGCTTGATGGGAGACTCAGAGACTCAGAAATCACTGCATTAAACAGGTACTGATCAGGTGTTTGAACCAGGGTGCTGAAGCATCTCTCTGACTATTAACCTACCCTGCAACCTTCAGAGAGACTTTATCTTTATCAGTATGTGATGGGTGTGGGACCACATGTTTATTTTTATATTATCCAGCAGTGGTCCCACAGTTATAATAGCTGCGTTAAAGTTCACTGTAAAACTGCCCCTCCATTAGCTCAGCAAGAGTGTAGCTTAACAAGACCAATCTAGTTGGCTAAGCAAAAACTTCCTTATTACCTGTCTGTCCTGCTGGTAATTCATTTAGGCACATTTCCCAGGAGTTCGATATAGTGATGGATCTCTTGCCACAGAGCTGTCAGCCGTCAGTATTTGTCTTTGTTTGTGTCATAGCTAGGCCACATGAGTGAGTGATTTGTGTAGTGGCATTGCAGACATAAGGCAATATCACCAGTCGGTCCTATTCATTAGTATGCTGCAGTATAGATGGAGCTGCTATCAGATGAGGGGAAGCCTTGGCAGGAGAGCAGATGAAAAACAGAGGGAGAAAGACAGAGATATGGACAGGAAACAGCAACATAATGAGTGAAATGTATGAGGAATAGCTCAAAAAGATGGTGACAGTCTTTATTTTGTTAACTTAATTTTGGCATTAAATAAAACAGCCAAGAAAAAGCCTAATTTCATTATCACAACAGTGCTCTTCATTAGGCCCAATATCATGAGTCATTCAACTGATAACTGTCAGAAAAGACCAGATAATTACTGTAAGAATAGGAAAAGAACTTATACATTAAGACAATAGGACAGGCAGTGGTAATATCCTGCAATTTCCAATTCGATCTTCTAAAAAAAAAACAATGAAGAGAAAAAATACAGAACAGAATGTTGCAGTAAAATGTGTGTGTGTGTGTGTACAGTGAAGCACGTGTGTTGGCATGGACACTGTGTGCGTGTGCGTCTACAGTATCATTGTGAACTATACGTGTGATGTATAGTGAGCCGAGCAAAGAGAGATGTTAAAGGATATTTTTTGCCTGCGTCAGCAGCATTGCAGGGAGGAGAAGGGGGAGAGAGAAAGAGAGAGGCAGAGCAATACCAGTAAACAGGTGCTGGCTCCATCAGCCCCTCTCTCTCCTATGCACCTCACTGCGCACATATCCACACATAGATTGTACATGACCACAGGACAGAGAAGCCATTTATACTTTAATACATATGTTTATACAACCTTTTGTCTTTTGTTCTATACAAAACTATAAGAGAAGATCAGGCATAGAGGAGTAGAAAGGAAGGCAGGAACCCAGACAAAGAAGTCAATGAAGCAAAGCCTTTGATGATGTTACTGTATCACACTTTACGATAAACAGTAAGGAAGTAATAAGGAATAGCCTTTTTTTTCCATGCTCAAAGCCTCATTCAACATACACAAGCACACTGCACCAACATCCTTGCACAGGGACCAATCCTGCTGCAGCGTCTAAACAGTGTAGAGGGAAAAGGGGTAGGGTGGGGGGTGAGTAAAGGAGTAAGAGGCAGTTTTTTCCCCTTCATGCATGTTTTAGATTTTTTTTATTTTCTCTGGTATCCTGGTTTGTGTGTGTGCGTGTGTGAGGGATTGCGTGATTGGCTGTGGTGATGACGGGTTCCCTGTGCAGCCTAGCGATCCTCCACAGATGGACTCACAGCAAGATTATGAGATACCAAGAAATTAAATACAGGAAAAAGAAACAAGATCAATGTAATGTGAGGAGGGAGAGCTGACTTTGATTTAAAGCTGCTCAGGCTATTCCTCAACTGACTGTCAGTTCATCCCTAGTTAATCTTTGTTGGTTGGTGGAGGGTGTGTGTGGGGGGGGGGGGGGGGGGGGGGGTCGAAGCAGTTTCACAGAATGTCAAAGCAGTGAAGGGAAGACGGATGTAGAGAATGAAAACAAGTGAATAAGAAGGAAAACCTTTTTGTCCACTGTTATTTATCTTTTTTCTTTTGCACAGAGAAAGAGGGAGACCAGAGAGGAAGGGAGCAGACACACTAAATGAGGGAAGTGTACGTGAGCGATTGAGAGAGGGAGCATGTGCGAGCATTGAAGAGAGAGAGAGAGAGAGGGAAAGAGAGCTGCGCTGCAGTAGCATCCCACAGCAGACGGCTAAGGACTGCCGGTGTGTGTGTGACTGCACTGCTGAAGAGGAGGAGGAGGAGGAGGCAGAGGGTGAGTACGCTCGCAGACTCTGCAGGGCCATAGAGGAACACACAGCAGCAGCGGCAGCGCTACTGTTGGCCGGCTCCAGGTAGAAGTACCAGCGCTGTCGCCCAGCAGACCACCGCCGTAGGAACTGGACACGCCAACGCCGCCCAGACCCCCACTACCAACGCCATGGCACAAGCGGCCAAACATCTCCGCAAGAACAAGGATTTAGAAGCCCAGTTAGAGCAGGAGCGCAAAGAGAAGGAGGAGGAGAGGAACAAAAAGAGGAGTCGCTCACGGGATAAAAAGCGCAAGGTACTGGGACTATTCACAGGTGGGGTAGTCAGGGGTGGAGTGATGGGGGAATAGTAGGGAGGGAGGGGTGGCTGGAGAGGGGGGCAGGAAGGTTGAGACGCCCCCCCCCCCCACCTTCTTTCTCTGTCATGCTAAGCTGTGGTCAGGGGTGCCAGGGCACACATGGAAACTCAGTAATGAGTGTGTTTCTACTGTGTGTACACACAGTCTCCCTGGCACACGTATGTCCTGCGCATACAGACACGGGAAACACACTGCATGCTTTCTTACTCCTTTCGACTGCTTTATACCTGCTTTACTGACTGTCCTGGCTAAGCCGTCTGATAAGGCAGTGTAGTACTCTACCTCTCACTGTGTCTCTGTCCCTCTTCACGTCTCTGTCTCGTCCCTTTTCTCTGTCTGTGCCCTCTCTTTCTTTGTTTTCACACTGCAGTATGGTGTCAATGAGTGAAATTTCACTACAGCACTAATCATCCACGAGGGCAGAGAGCTTGTCAGACCATTCTGTTCTGCTCTCAGCAATCCTCTATGTGGCATTGTAATGACCGCAGAGCGAAACCTGCAGGCTTCTGTCTGACTGAGAAGTCCCTGGCAGAGCTGGCAGGGCTCGTTGTAAACAATAAATCTCTGCCTTGCCAGTTGCCGACTGCAGGGACGTATCATCAAGCTGCAGAGTCTACTTTATTCCTCTGGCCTCTCGTCAGATTTCACTCAAACTCATTAATGAAAATGAGTCATCCGCAGATGTGTGTATTGGTAGCAAATTCATCAGCAACCGAATATGAGTCCAGCTGCCCTGTGAGCCTGAACCGTGCCAGGCTGGCTGTAAACCAATCTGATGCTGATGCGGTAGAGACAGTGTTATGGACAGGAACACAGTACAGCTTCCACTTTCCCGGAGATGGGAGGCAGGGCTGAGAGGCTCATACAGGGATTAAATTTTTCTTTTTGTTGTGGTTGTACAAAGTACTGTGGCAGGGGGTTAGAAGGTGTATTTGAGCAAAATCAAGGGAAGAAAAGAGAGAGAGCAAGAGAGAATAAAGGGAAAGGTGGCATGACTCAGATACACCTGGGGTAGATCTGTCTCTCTCTCAGTAAGGGTTTGCTCCTCTGCTTTTTTGAGATTCAGACCCAGCCCTTTCATCTCACACACACACACACGCCACCACCACTCTCTGTGCTGACTGACGTGACGGTTTCTCTACATTCTTCACCTCTAACCTCTTGTCAACCTTTTGCTTTTGCTAAAAGTACCAGAACTGTGAAAGCCTGTGCAGAGATGCGTGTGTGTGTGTGTGTGTGTGTGTATATTGTGCATATTGTGCATATGAGAAATTGCAGAAGGGAAAGCCTTCAGCTCTAACAGTATGGATGAGGCAGGGATGAGATTTCTGGTGAGGGTACTAATGCAGCCCAACTTTGACTGAAAGTGTATGGTTTCAGAGGATCCCATATCACTTACGTAACCATGCAGCTTAAGTCTTTCAAATAAGCTTCCCGACTCCCCTCCAGCTCCCCCTCCCAACCTCTCTTCCTTTTTTAACACCGGCTTACAGCCATTCCTGGTTTCTGGAGCAGATGTTAATACTGGGGGAATTCTCTCTTTATCTCTCTCTTTCTCTCCAGTGCCCTCTTTGTTTCCTCTCCGGTGCCTGCAACTACGTAGTCAAATTCTACAGTAATTCATAAGTTGACTGATTGTGTTTCCCTATATTGCATGGTGGTTAACAAAACCACCGTTGCACTTGGCTGTTTTTCTTTGTTTGCCACTCGACACCTGTTTTTCGGTAGTTGTTCCATCAGCTGTCTTGTGTATCGACCTGCACCTCGGGATTGTCCCTATCCTCGTGGAGCGGGCAAGGTCAACACAAGTCTGTGACAGAGCCACATTTATCATTTAATCACCCTATACATTTTGCTCCCACACATACTTTTTTGTTTTTAATTTTGTTACCAGAAAACCAGGCTTCTGTTATGTACGTTTTAATTTTCTCCTTCACTGGAGGCCTTTCAGTTATTTATCTTGCAAAATTGATATATTTTGAGTTCCTGTATGAAGAATCACCGAGAGTGTCTTTTATTGATCCTTTCATGTCTTTACATTAAATTGTTTTAACTTATAGTGGCTGATTTATTGTTGCTCGTGTTTTTAGTCACAATAGCAGGAGCGCAGAGCTCTGAAGGGATGACAGTGTCACTCTGTAAGGCATCACCTGGTTCAGTCTTCTTTGGTCCAGTTGGTGTTATGGGCTGTAGGGGCTGCTAGCTGGGCTTATAGCCTGGTTTATTTTCGAGTAATGCATTTTAATTTTGCATCTTTTGAAGACGTTATTGGATTTGCTCACCCTTTTATTTATCCTCTTTATGGTTTTAGTCCCTTTAAATCTACTGTTTGTGGCTAATGTATGTTGGTGTACATGATTATTTCTGTCCCTGTTGGGACACAAATCTGTGTCCGCTGATGAATGTCCAGAGTCATAAAGCTAACAATTCGTCATCAAAGGGTGAAGGTGCCATTTTAATTGGCTTATGGTGTAGTTGTATTATACAGCACAGGTCAGTTGCTGAGCAGTGGATAATGTTGTCCTCATATTACTTTTATTGATGAGTTTGCCCCTCTTGAAAAATGAGCATTGTCAGGATGTGAACAAAGCGCTATTGTCCTAGTCAGGACCCATTTTCACCTCATTCTGAATGTGCGTTTGTGTACACATCTAAAGCCGTTTCAGTGTGAAGTGGTTTACCTGGCAGGAATGGCCCTGAAGTATGAAGCAGTGCTTTGCTGTGTTTGTGTTGGTTGTCTCATATCAGCATTACAGATTAAAATGGGGGGGGGGGAACGTATCTTGTGCAATTTTTTATTTAAGACTGTTTACTTTTTAAAGATATAGGATTATTTCAAGGTCATGGGAAATGTACACCTTTATTTATAAACAGGCTGTTTGAAGATTGAAAATAGGTTAACACTTCAGAGCAACACATTTTTTTATTTATTCTGTCTTGTTAGTTTTTTGGCTTTTTTAGTTATTAACATTAACTTAATTTTGGTTGTATTGGTATTTTTGTATAATTGTAATTACTTTTATCTTTACTATAAATACAAATGCAGAAAGACAATTGTAAACACCAAGCAGTACTACTACAATATAATCCAAGTGTTTCTCTTCATGACATTAATGCAAGTTCAGATTTAACATCCAATTGCAAATTCTTAACAGAACAAACTCAGTTTGTCTCGTGAGCTGCTGGTAAAAGCCATACATTTATTTCACTTGGATTCTTTATGACCATGTAGAGATCTGCTTCCTCTTGTTACCAATTATTTTAGTGCAACAGTATGTGATCAGTATGGGATGAGCCCCCAGGGTGTTTAATAAATCCAATAGTCCCATTCAGGATGTAAGTTCAGAGCATTATTTTTATGTGCAAAAATATGGATTTCTTTCTGGTTGGTTCCTTTTGCTCACTTGGTTGGAGCATGAGTTTTGTGTTTTGTTAGTATTTATCTGGGAACAATTTTGTGACATGGGAATGCATATTTGAATTTCTTTTAATTTAATTTCTTTTAATTTTAATTTATTGCTGTAATTAGGGCTGCAACTAAAGAATATTTTCATTATCAATCAACCTAAATTTATTAAAGTTAATTTAGTTTACTATCATAGAAGAACTCCGAAAGTCCAGTGACTGCGGCTGCGCCACGGTTTTGTTTCGTCCTCTGCCCGGCTTCGAAGTCCACTGGAAGCTTCACGTTATTGACTTTTTAATTTGTAATTTTTGTGCTTCTACTACCTTATTCACGGCTCTCTGTGACCCCAATTTGTTACGTTGTCTGAACAGCTGCATATCCCACAGGGAGCATTTCAGAATCAGAGCATTTTGCTATTTGTTTCAGCTCAGCTATTGTGATTTTGGACAAATCATCCAAATATGTCCAAGGGTAGCAGCACAATTTGCAATCTAAATCATCTTCTGAATGTAAATCTGCAACGTGCTGGGACACAAGCTGCTTCTTCCAAAAAGTTAAGTTAAAAATAAAGTTGTTACTCTCAAGTGTCTACTTATTATAACAAGTATTGCAACTAATCTTTTATAATTATTTTCATTTTTTGATTGTTTGGTCTATAAAACATCCCAAAAATTGTGAAAAGGCCCATCACAAGGTGGTTGTTAAATCCGTCCAAAACTCCAAAGGTAATCACTAGTGTGCACATATGGCTTCTCTCTAGTCAAGCTTGTCTGTTACTTGCAAGGCAGTGAAGTGTAGAGAAAGAGTCATGGCAGCTGAGGACTGACCCATTAGCGGTGCTGGTACTCAGACTCATCAATACAATAAGTCTGGTCAGGATGCACTATGCCTCCTTTGTTGCTGTATATTGTCTGGCACTCAGAGGTGTTGGCTTGTAAATCTCAACCCATCAGGCACCTTAACGGTAAAATCAGCCGCATATAATCATGTTCCTAAACGACTGTGGAGCTAATATGGCTGCCAACGAACATTGCAATGGTGTAGGTAGTATCTAAGTGCTATTTCCAACTTCATACAGCAGAGGTGGCAGCACTGGATAAGCGTTCCAGCCTCGTCTCTGCTGTTACCCTCCCTGCCGGAACACTTAAGTGAAGCCTTCACAGAGGTTATTGTGTCGATGTCGGAGACAATTTGGTATTATAGCTATCTAGGTGTTGATGCTGTGTTTGTGTACGTATGACAGTGTTTGTGTGTTTGAGTGTGTGTTCAGGTTTGGTGCAGTGGATTAGGGGTTCTGCAGCAGTGACTAAGCCCATCAGAGCCAACCCTAGCACCTGTCTGCCTGCTTACTCGTACCCTCACTGTGTTAACTCTCCTAGCAAATTTTTCAGGTCTACCAGCGCATAGCTAGGGGCAAAATTATTATCTTACAAGAACTTACCATCCACAAAACACTGAACAAAACCCCTATCAGAGAGAAATTTTTATTTAATTTAATTTTTTAAATTGTCTGGTGAGGATCTCTCTCCCC